AGCCCAGCTAACCTAGAGTGCTTTCTCTCACTTTCTCACATAAAAAGACAGTTCTTCAGACACCCCATACATAGGACTGAGACACATTATTTACTGATTTACTGTACAAACTTTTTACTGAATATGTACGACCATATGTCAATGAAATACATAACTTTTAATACATCCCCTAACAGCAGGGACTGGCTCCACTTCATTGCACTCTGAGAGGAGGGAACGTTACAGGAGTTGGTAAGGCGCACACTGTGCTAGCAATGATTTAGCTTTCTGTCTTGTGATGATACAGAGAAATAAAATATGTCTGCCTCTCAAATGTCCAACACTGCTTCCTGTCCTCACAGTAATTTCACCTGCGGTCGACAGACTAAAAATCGCTTATTAGTGAAATCATTTCTGGTGCTCTTGTCAATTATGTGCATACAGCTCATGGGTAAAGAAGATAAAAGTTCAATGAGATGAGAAAACCACATAACTGATTGAATGGAGTCTAGGATCAAAATCAACTTGATTGTTAAGTACAACATTTAGTGAAATTTGTTTAAGCACTAGGAGCAGTGGGCAGCTGGCTCCAGATCTAAGCCAGTGCCTTGGTCAAATGCATTGACTGGAGAATAAACTTCACATACAGATATGCAAATCCACAGAGAAAGGCCCTTCCCCAGTCGGAAATTGAACCCAGGATCTTCTTGCTGTGAGGTGACAGTGCTAACCACTGGGCCACCGTGCTGCCATAGATTATATAGACATGATTGAAGAGCTAAAAGTAAAATGATTAACATGATAGAAAAAAAGCAGTTTGTCTTTAATAAGCCCTTCACCTCAGCAAAATTAAAACAGTTTACATAAAATCATCCAGCCACGTTTTTCACCAGTTTGGTTCTGGATTAAGAAGAAAAAAGTCCTCATTGAATAATTAATTGGCAGTTGAATGTGAATCTAGAATCTGGATACAACCCCAACCCTAAAATCAACTTTTTCCAATTTACATAAATGGGTCAGGCGCTTCCACCGTTGGGAGGATGGGAGACTCTGTGGTCTCTGAGGGCTAGCAGGCTTTTGAAGATCTGCAGTTTGAGGTTGGTTTGGTGGATGAGCAGGGCCTGTGTGCTGATGCTGTTCTGATTTGTGTTTCCAAAAGTGCTGAATCGTTGAGAAGTGTAACGATACCAGGGAAAATTTGCTTGCTTGAGATCTTCTGCTGCTAACAGGGATTCTAGAGATACCATTAAAGCCCAAAGAAAACCAATTAGTTCTTTGTTTCTAGCTATTGTTAATGTAAAATAAAAATTGTCAGCATATTCAAGTGTAGTGTTGTTTTTGTGTCCAAGGCTAGATTATAAACCAGCCCAAGGCAATTAGGAGACTGAAAAGTCCCAGGTTCACTTTGTGTCAGTGGTTTTTATCACACACTTAAGGTCCCCAGAGGAATAGCAATAACTCTGGGGATCCGCTGACTCTTCATTGAGCATCATCAGGTCAAAATGTTAATTTTTAAAGTACCTGCAACACTAATGAACACTCATCAGTCACAGATGTTCAGTGGTAAATATTAAAACTAAGATGGAGAACATGGTAAACATTATATATATTATACATAACATTTCCAGAATTTTTGCATGCTGGTTTTAGCATTTGGCTCAAAGCATCATTGTGCCAAAGCACAGCGTCACAGGGTCGCTAGTATGGCTGCAGACTCTTGTTTTTTGATAATTTGATTAATTGCATATCAAAGTACAATATCAAGTAAGGCGGCATTATTACCTCTCTCGTAGAGGAGCCCTGTTTCTAAATAAGATCTAAATCATATTGTGCACACAGTGGACACATAAATAAAGCTGTGTATAATCAAATTACCTCAACCTAACACACAGAAAACCTGGGGCCAGATACAGCACAGGAGCACTGGTTAGTGTCTGGGCAAATAATGAAGCTGCCGTCCGTTTATAATCTGCTGTGTGCTCTGTACTAAGCTTGGAGGTGACTGGGCTCAAATGGCCCTGGTGCCCCCTAATATGTTAATCCATGGTTGTGTCCTTATAACCTGGGAACTGATCAGCGGTCAAAGGATTCTTCTACATTTTAGACTGTAAGGATTCTCCATTTCCCCTATGGATATATTTATACCGTATGCTCAGTAGCAGTCAGCAATATATATATTTTTATATTACAGTCTGATTTGTCTTTTATGGGATGATATATATTTTTATCTTTCATATCAAAGATGGCTCTTTTTAATTGCCATCTGTCATGATGATGAGCACAACAAATACATCGCAGCCAGGGCCAGACTGACGCAGCAACAGAGAATAATGGTGAATGTTTGCTGTTTGGTGACATCTGCTGGTGAAAAACAATGTCTATTCTTTTAGTAGATTAATGCTTCTGCTGATGGGCTATAATCTGAAGATCACTATTACTACTATTACTACAACCACCAGCTGGGTATGGCACAACCTGTAAGGATTAGGGTAACGATTAGAAAGCACACAGAAAAGAGAAAATAAATATATCGCTCATATATTGTTCTATATAAAAAACAACACAGGATTAATAAGTATTTGCACAATTACAGTTACATAATGTTAGTGCAGTGTTAAGAGAGGTGTTTTTTTCTCAAGGAATATGATTTGCCATTTGTGTAAACATATTGGTTTATAAAGTCAGTGGCAGATTGAGAAATACAGGAAATTAAATGTCTGATTTACAACAAAATTAACTACAGTGTCCATGTTATCTTTTGTGTTTGCTGCTGATGTGATACAGTTGGACTAAACTAACTATAACTTATAAAGTACTAGTAGTCCCACATACAGCTGATAATACTTACTAAGATTTTAAATACAGGACATACTGTTACTTGAGTAAAGGAGCTGACTACTTCTTCCACCACTGCTTTATCCTGTCAGGACACGGTGGCAATACCTCTTTCTGATTGGCTGTCTCACATTTTAAGGGCCACATTGTGCCAAACGTCTGTTCATCTCGCTCCACCTGCGCACATCACAGACACACCTGCAGCTGATGCTGGACCCTGGCCTGCTGTTTGTCTCCATGTTTCACGCAATTGATGTAAGTCTCTTTATTGTTCGGTCGCTATTATTTGAACTGTGCTTGTTTAAGTCACTTTACTTTGACCAAAGTGATCTAACTATAGCATAGGTCAAATGACAGCGGCGACCTACTGACCACGGTGCCCATTCATTCTCTAGGGGACACATTCGGCACATTGCTTATTGTTATAAGAGGTGTTTTCTTCTCAAGGGATATGATAAATCATTTGTGCAAACATTTTTATTGGTTTAAAAAAACATTGTCAGATTGAGAAATAGAGAAAATTAAATGTTTAATATACAATAAAATGACTCTGGGTGGGTTCATGAACTGTTTTAGTTAGTTATCCTTTCGTGTTTCCTGTTGTTAACGACTTGTTTTTATGAACGTGAAATCCCACACACCGGTGATGTTTTCACATGCATAAACTCTCCGGAAATTCAGCAATTATATCGCCCTTGTCTAATATTTCTGTCTGTGTGGTTCGTCATTAAACGCAACGCAGCGTGATGCGGTCAGAGGAGAGAGAGGTGGACCAGGGCCAAGAGAGAGACCCATGGCCGAGCAACACAAAAAAATGCATTTTTAAATCAGGAGAGACTTTTAATATTTATATTTAGAATTTTAATATGTGCACAATGAATAAATGTGAATGAAGATATGTAGGCGAACTTAGGTACATTTCTAAAGGACTACAGACTGCTGAATAAACAGACTACAATTGTTTTGCATCTTAACTGTCCCACAGCCAACATACCCTGCAGCCAGCCATAATGGCTAATGCATTTATTTTGCCTGTAATGTGAACATGTGTACAAATATCAGTAGCCTAAACCTTTACAAATACCTAAATCTCAAACTGCCAGCATGGGGAGCCATTTCCAGCCCTCCACCCTGCCTCCCTCTGACATGATGTCAAAAATATAATATAATCCAGTGTGTGATTATTTAATTTTCAGTCATCATCAGTTTAAACTACCTCGTCATATATAATTGAAACCATTCATCCACTGTTCATAAGAGAGCAAGTTTTGGTTCTTCATTTGTTGTTTGTTAACAACAACAAATATACAGAATGATATAAAACGTCTAGAAACTGCTTTGTATGTGTTTTTTTTTTTTTTTTTTTTTTTTTTTTAAGTAGTCAGTGTTAACATACGTGACGGCACCTTTTAGTCTAAAGAGCTAAGCAACATGCACAAAGTAATCAATCTCCCCACATTAACATCCAGTGACCATATCTAGGACTTTGCTCTGTTCTTGCCAAGGACCAGCTCTTAAGTAATCTCCCCATGGAAACAAAATGAACACAAAGTTGAACAAGAGTTAAAGCCTTACGCAACAAAATGGATAGTAACCAATCCCATCCTGGCCGAAATGTTCCCAGTCTGCCCGTCAAGGACGCAGCTTGGTTGTGTGCAGAGCAATGTGCTGAGATTAACAGATTAAGGTCCATGATGATAAATGTCTGTTTACATGCATTATATGGATCACTGAGAAAGACAAGAATATAAATAGGAGCATATTTAAGGAAATTTACATTAAATTCAGTGTGTGTTGCCAAGTGGGACCCTATACGATGAGAAAAGCAATGGTCCTTATCCAGAGCCTTGAGGCACCCCACAGAAAAGGATATGAATGTCGTTTTGTTGAATACATGGGTGATTAAACAAAGTTTGATTTGTCTAACAAGTTGATTTTGTTTCACTCATCAATTTTCCATCTGTATACTGTGTTCCAGAGCTGCTAGCTTGACTTCATCAACTCAGATGTGTATTTTAAAGTGTCGTTTTTAAAATGTCTAATATCTGTAATGATGACTTTAACTTCTGCTGCAGAATTCTCTCATCTTTGGCTGAATGGAAAAGTGGAAGAACCTCAGACGGAAGTTTTTCTTCCTCTCCATTGGTATCTTCATCTTCGTGGTTGTGGTTGTCATTTTCCCCGGACCAGATGAGGCCATCCCAAACCCGATCCGAAACCTGCGTCGGGGTCCAAACTCTTGCCCCCTGGAGACATCTGACAAGACCATCACCCCCCTCAAGAATACCAAGCACTTGCTGGTGTCAGCCTACATGGACCAAAGGGTGAATGGTTTCGATATACGCATCATTAGTATATTCAGAAGAGACTCCATCCAACCCCTTCAGTGTCTTTTCTGCTGTGCAGGCCAGGTATCAAATACAACAACTCCAGCTAAAATTCATGAACACTCAGACAACTTTGGTTTTCCCTTTGCCACTACGGATGTCATGTGTCAAATTCCTCAAACCTGCAGGGCAACCCATGTCAGTCTTCTGTCTCAGCTAGATAGTGTGGAGGTATCTTCACAGATTTGGCTCCCCATAAGAAACCAGAAGACCAAAGGAAAGGAAGAGGAGCTGCAGTATGACTTTACAGTCTGCATCTCCAACCTGTTTGAATTCAACAATGCACTTCAGTATGCACAGACCCTGGAGATGTACAGGTCAGCACGCTACACAACACATACAGAATACAGACGGTAGACAGAACAACACCACCACCACCACGAAGAATGGCCTCAAATGAGCATTACAGTTCTCAAAGGTACTATATTATGGTAGGGCTTCTAGACAGCATTACACTGTAAGGTGATGCAGTTATTATTCTTACTCAGTGTGGGTGCAAAAGTCTTAACTACATTAGCCATGCTAATGCCTAAGGAGTAAATAACAAGGGTTAGTCGGTCGGCTAGTCCACCATTTTTGGTCCAGACTGAAGGTTGATAGCGCTTCAGCTTAGTTTCCTAAAGTCTCCACTGGTTGCCTAGCAACTTCATGGTAACAAGACACCAGGAAGTCACTGCTATCTCCCAAACCCACATCAGTATGTTGGCATTCCATTATTTACATATAGCTAAGAGCACTGCTGTACCTTGGGAGAGCCATTCGTGTGGCTGTAGTCTTTTTTAGTGTTTCTTGAATCAACATGACTTTGTTTTGTGAACCACCTAACTACAGATTGCTGGGTGTGGGCAGAGTGGTGATCTATAACACCAGCTGTGGCCCAGATCTCGACCGCCTGTTGCAGAGCTACAGCAAGGAGGGCTTCGTGGAGATGGTTTCTTGGCCCATCACCCAGTATATGAACCCCTCTCGTGGCTGGCTCTTCTCGATGTATGGAGGGGATATTCACTATTTTGGCCAGTTAGCCACACTTAATGAGTGCATTTACAGATCCATGGACCGGTCCCGCTATGTTCTGTTGCATGACATCGATGAGATTATAATGCCATACCAACACAACAGCCTAAAACCTCTCATGGACATACTCCAACAGCAGCACCCGAAAGTAGGGTACTCTGTGTGCTTTTCAGTCATATAATATTAATATCCATACTGATCATATTTGGTATTTACTGTATTTTCTTTCTGTCCTCCCAACTTAAAATGCATCCATCAAACTACTGCATCCACATTCTGCAGGTTGGGGTGTTTTTCATTGAAAAACATATCTATCCCAAGAAACCCTTTGAGGAAAGTAAAAGTGGTCTCCTGCCTAAATGGAGAGGGGTACCAAGCTTTAATATTCTTGAGCGCATCTATAAGTGGGTGCCTGACGGGAAGGCAGAGTACAAGCTGATTGTTCAGCCAAGGTAAACTGATATTTTTTTTTTTTTTTTTTTTTTCCTCTCCCCCATATGGTGCTTTAAAACTATAGTATAATAGGTCTCAGCAGCAACATTCAGATAATGATCTGTGAGTGACCGTGTGTGCTTCACAGGATGGTGGAGCAGACTTCGGTGCATTTAGTGCTTGAGAAGTTTGGAGAGGAGTTCAAGATTCCACCCGAGTTGTGTCATATTATTCACGCTCCACTGAGCACCCATACTGTTCAGCCACTGGAGAAGATCCAATTGGACACCCGTCTGTGGGATTTCAATGACAAGCTGATCCCAAATGTGAAAAACGTGCTGAGGAGAGCTGGGCTGTTGCGCTCAGAGAGTAAGACCTGATGGATGGGATGGAGAAACACAAAGAGGGATGAAGAACACTGCATTGCACGTATGTATTTATCAATTATCTCTGCAATATTTTTAGCCATGCTAGCAGCTTAGTTCTACAGATTGCAATGGTCCAGACTGAAATATCTCAGGCTATTGCGTAGATTGCCATGGCATTTGGTGCAGACATTCATGGTCCCAAGGATGAATTCTGCTGACTGTTGTTCTAGTGCTATCAAGTCAAAATTGTAATTTGATTTCAACATCACTTCACTTTGGTCTATAAATTAATAGTTAGAAAAACTACATCAAAGTGCTGACATTTAGCACAAAGCTTTTCTGTTCCTAACTACACCCTGACAGAGCCCCTAGCATAGCTGTAAACTCTCGTCTTGTGTCATTTTTAGCAAGTAAAGTTCAAGCAGACGACATTGTTGGAATCTCAGGTTTTTTCTGTCACACAGAGAGATAATATTGTTGAAATGATCTAAACCTACTGTAAACTGTTTTGTCTCTCTATCATTGCAGTCAGTGCTGCTTCACTCCTCCAACACTCCACCACCATTGTCAAGGCCCTTGTGGATCTCTGTCTGGCTCCTATTTGGTATATTTGCTATAAATGTGTAGAATGGACAGGATTGATTAAGGTTGAAATAAATTGAAATAATGTGTCTACCCTGAGTGAGAATTCTTCTCAGTAATATATATTTAAGAATTAGTGGCATCACATCTTGTATTGACAAGATACACCTGGCAGAAATAGAGGGGAGAAGGAAAACCTGGATAAATCTCACCTCAGTGGATGTGTACTGTGTATATACACCAATCAGCCATAACATTATGATCACCGACTGAAGTGAATATCATGGCACCTGTCAGTGGGTAGGATATATTGGGCAGCAGGTAAACATTTTGTCCTTAAAGTTGAAGCAGGAAAAATGGAGAGCGTTAGGATTTGAGTGACTTTGACAAGGGCCAAATTGTGATGGCTAGAAGGTCAGCATCTCCAAAACTGCAGCTCTTGTGGGGTGTTCCCGGTCTGCAGAGGTCAGTACCTCTCAAAAGTGGTGAACCGGAGACAGGATCATGTGTTCGTTAATGCACATGGGGAGCGAAGGCTGGCCCGTGTGGTCCGATCCAACAGACAAGCTACTGCTCAAACTGCTGAAAAAGTTAATGCTGGTTCTGATGGAGAGGTGTCACACACAGTTTGTTCGCAGTTTGTTTTGCGTATGGGGCTGTATAACCAGGGTGCCCAGGTGGTGATCAGTGTATATGTACCTTAGCCTATTGCCTAGAGCCTAATGAACCCCATCAGTGCCACCATATTGAAGGAATACGTGTTCTGTGACATGTAGACTCACAAGCTTTTACGGAACTAAAACATAATAAAATGTGGGGACAAGTTTAAAAGATGTTCACATTATCACAGGACAAAGTGGTGTTTAAATCTTTCAAAAGGGTTAGAGGATCTGCTATGATTCACAAAGCTACTTTCATACTGCAGTTCACTTTTAATAACCTGCCCAGACACTAATGAGACAGCTGAATGGCTTTTTGGGTACTTTAAAACCCTAACGCATAATTTCTTTGCACGTGTCCATGTTACAGATAGGTAGGATATTCCCAGTGCTCCACCTGGTGAGTGGCTAGCTTTTCAGCAGTGGTCCTCTTACACTTCAGGATTTGTAGTATTTGTATTTAATATTCAGTTATGAGAAGTTACTATGATTAAATCTATGTGGTACCCAAAATCCATTGGTTTACATTATGGATAATGCCTTTTGACTTACTGGGCAAAAAAGCAAGAAGTGTACTAAATCCTGGAGAAAATTTACTAGATATTCCCACAAGAGCCGTCTCAAAAGAGCTTCTAATTAGGGATGCATGAAAATTATTGGAGCAGATAAATTATTGGCTGATAATGAGAAATTTATATTATAAATTATTCCAATAATTAAATTACAACTGATAAATTATTGGTCCATAATAACCATTTATTTTGAATTCTTATGCAAAATGTTTGATTGGCTTCATGCACCATGAAAGCCAAAGTATGTTTGTGAAGTTTGTGTGTCAGTTAGATCAGAACAATGGAATTTTAAATCATCCATTTTTGCTCACTGTCTTTTTGTTATGAACTGTATCGGCCATGAGAAGCGAGTAATTCTTGGTTATCATATCGGATGAAAAAGAAATCCATAACATGCATCCCTACTTCTAATAACCTTAAGGGTGGGTTATCATGTATGACATGCAGCACAGTGTGTTTGGACTACTTGATTAGTTTAATTTGCTGTGATTGGCTATTTGTACAGTATAATAAAGTTTTTTGGACTTGAGTTGAAAGTTTTGGGGTACTTTAGTTAGTATTACTATTTCAGGCTGCAGCAGAGGCATTTCCAGACTTCTTTCACTGGTGTTCTTTGACTGTTTATGGACCCCCATCTACAGGAATATACAAATACACTAGGCGAAAATGTATACCACATGCAAAAAAACTGCATGGTTTTTGCCACAAAACTGCATGGGATTAGCATAAAGTTGGCCATGCCAGTTTAGCTTTACTTTGGAGCGTTATTTAGCTCCCTTCCTGTCCTGACATGCTAGTATGGCATGGTTGGTACCAATGGGGGCGTTAAGTCATCTACTTAATTACAATATCAGTATCTTCACTCTAGTTAAAACACAGAGCCTGACTCTGAAAGTGTGGGGTCGAAGACGTAAGGATAACGGGGTGGCACTTGGGGTGGCTAGTCAAGCTCCCCATCCCCTCTGGAAACATGTCAGGTGCTACAGTATTGTTCTTCTCAATCTTATCTTTTATCTGACAGGCTAATTGGGTCACTTTGCAAAAATAAGATTATACCCCCACCCACCCCTTAATTAATCTCTGGTTTGGTTTGTTTGGGGCAGCTCCAACACACCAACACATATACACAGGATTCCTACAGAATAGACTGCCCTGCACTGTCTATAAGACACACACCCCTCATCATAAATGCTAACCCTTGTTTTTTTTTTTTATCTCCCCCTAGCAATTGCCAGTGCTGTTGTATTGTAATAAATGTATTTTTTTTTGTGATTTGTTTATCTACCAATGAACCAAGCTATGTGTAAAAACTTACTTGGCAATAAACCCGATTCTGATTCTGATTCATGTCAAAAAGGAATTTTGGGAGCTCAGCTAGGCAGGGGAGTAAAAACCAAAACTGACCACACTATTCAAATGCACACAAAACCATCTATAGATGCACCACACACCTAATCACAGCAAATCACTACACATTAATGCAAAATAGAGAAAACCCATCACACACTGGAGCCACACGTCCTCAATTTAAAATGTATACTAAAGTTAAATCTTATGTCTTGATGTTGGTAAGGCGAAGAATAATGCAACTCTAGTAACAATTCTGTTTTGAAATTGTAAGGAGCAGAAAGTACAGATATTTATGTAAAAATGTAGGGGGTAAAAGTGAACAATCAAAAAAGAAATACTCAACATAGTATAAGTATTTGTACTTTGTTACTTACCACCTCTGGTCGCCCAATGTACATAAGGTCTGTCTCATCTCATGGTTGCATCAGCCATCAGACTAATGCCACAGCACCCAGTAATATTTTAATTGCACATGTACAGTTTAGTTTTTTATTTAATACACTGCTCAAAATATTTTGCACACCATTTTATTGCATATTGTATACAGTGTATATATTATTCATTATAGTCTTATATTTTCTATTATATTTTATTGTATTCTTATTTTGTGATTCTTTATTGTACTTTTAGACTTCTGTACTTTTTGAACTGCATTCCCCTATGCTGCTGTGTCTGATTTTAAATTTCCCTCAAGGGCGGATCAATAAAGGATCATCTTATCTCACCTTATCTCACCTTATCTCACACAAAGCACTGTCACCACTACTGACGGTCTTTCAGAAAACTGCACCGTGCATGCGTGGCTCCACCCTAGGATGCAACAACCACTCAGCACTGAGTTGAGACATGACTGAGGGGAAACCGCAGACAGAGACTGTGAGCGCATTCACTCTCTTCCTCCAATCTTTCGCCACCGGCTCTAACATCAGGAAGAGAACACGCACAGTCTTTCAGTAAGTTATACGATTTATTATTCATGCTTAGACCAGCAATACACCAACACGCAATACAAGCATCTCTGTGCTCAAAGCATGGACCGCATCCGCATTTTGATGTTTTTGTTTTTGTGGGGTTTTTTTTAACGGTTCTGAAACGATCCAGACGCAGCTGATAAGAAGGTTTCACGACTTCATGATCAGTTTTCTCATTTCCCTGAAATAAATGTTTAAAACTTTGTGGATAGGCAAAGTTAGGACAATTATTAACTATATTATTCTAAGTTAAGGTGTTCACACCAGGTATATGCAAATTACATGAATGGGTATAAGTTTTATTATACATACAGTAAATATAAAAATGTGTCCTGGTTGTGTTTGATTTAAAACCCCCATGAGATAAGACATAAGAACCGGTAATTCGTCCTTACTGTTACTCTTTACTCAATACTGCAAAAATGTTGGGGGTCAGGTTTTTCCACAGGAGTGTAGAAGGGAAGGGCACTGCACATTTGTTTTCTTAGCAACCTCAATGACCAGAACAGTTTATAGAATGATGTATGTGCCGAATTTGACACTAGAAAGATTTTTTTCACACTCATCTTCTGGCACATACACTGAGAATGGACTTTAACGTGACGAATGAATAAACACATTTTGTATATTCATATATTTTCAATGCGGTAGAATGAGTAAGTCCCTTTTTAAGGATTTTAACATGTTACGCAGACTATTCTCTTAGTACATGTCAACACATTTTTGGCTTTTCCCGTGTCATTTCATGTCATTTAGTCTCTGCTGACTTATATTGTGCAGAGACAGGGTGTCATTTTACATGCAAATGAGAGAGAGACGTAAGAGAAAGAAAAAATGTAAGGTGATTTAGTATAGAGAGCCACAAAGTTCACGCTTAAGGTTGATGGACCTGTCAAACATTAAGCTTTCTTATTATCGCAATAATCCCTGTACTAAGAAAAGGTCGTGTTTGCTTTGTTCCGCCTCAGGTTAGGAATCAATGTCGTCTGTGGCTGGATGGCAAAAGAATTAACAAGGAAGTTCTTCTTCCTCTTCGCTGCTACCTTGGTCTTCCTCATCTTCATCACTGTGAGAACGCCTAGGATATACAGGTCCATCCCAAAGCCGCGATGGGCTGCAAAGATTTGCCCCTTCTGCATCTCTGAGGAGACCATCACCCCCCTCAACAATACTAAACACTTACTAATATCAGCCTTCATGGACCAGAGAGTGAATGGCTTTGATATACGCATCATTGGGTTATTTAGGAGAGACTCCATCCAACCTCTTTACTGTCTTTTCTGCTGTGAGGGCCACTTATCAACTACAACTCCAACAAATATTTTACAACACTCAGACAACTTTGGTTTTCCCTTTGTCACTACGGATGTCATGTGTCAGATTCCTCAAGACTGCACTCCCTCACATGTTACTCTTCTGACTCAGACTGAGCCAGACAGGCAGAGGATATTTAACCAAACTTGGCTTCCCATAAGAAACAAAAAGAGTGAGGGGAACGAGGGGGGAAAGTTGCAGTTTAACTTCACAGTCTGCATCTCCAACCTGTTTGGAGACTACAACAACGTGCTTCAGTATGCACAGACCCTGGAGATGTACAGGTCAGTACAGCAACAACACCAGAAACCACAATGTCAAAAATGTCAAATAAATGTCCCACTGACACTGTGTGCAAAAAACTGCATTTTTGGATGTAAATGTGCTTCCAATAACATGGCATCCTAAACATATGTAACAGGCATTGTAAAAGAAGTGACTACAATGATGTGCTAGTAGTGTGCACACATGCTGTAGATGTAGACCACAAATTTACAAGGCAAATATAGTAGATAGGCATCAGTTAGCTAAGCATTGTACAAACACTGGAAACAGGGGGAACCATCTAGCCTGGCTCTGTTTTAAAAGTTACTAATCCGCCTAAAAGCACCTCTACAGCACACTAATTTACACGTTACATCAGACTCATTTCATCCATATCAAAATCAATAACCCTCAATGAAATCACAAAGTGACTCTAGCTTTGTGTTTAGCGTGCAGAAATGAGCGTGGAATCAATCTTCTGATCTAACTACTGGCAAGAAAGCAAATTCCAAAATGTCAGGCAGTTCCTTAAACAATTACAAGCTTCAAAAGGCACTATATTCAGGGCCACAACAGATATTTCTGTTTACTAGATGTGAATTCATTTATGCATTTATATGTGGAGGTTGTGGTGGTGTGCAGCACCATGGTGTATGGAAATATTGTTGTATGTGTGCTGGAAGTTAGGCATGACATAGCATCTGTCTGTCTACCAACTAAACTTGGTAGACTTTTTTGGTGAAGTCAGGCCACATCTCATCAACCACTGCAGCATTGAACATGCTTTTAGTTATTTGTTTAAAAGAGATACACTCCCAGTTTTGCCTGATATCTATCAGTGATACATTTTTAACCGTTGCCTTACATTGCTACAGAATGCTGGGTGTGGACAGAGTGGTGATCTATAACACCAGCTGCGGCCCAGACCTCAACCGCCTGTTGCAGAGCTACGTCCAGGAGGGCTTCGTGGAGATGGTTCCTTGGCCCATCGACAAGCATCTGAATCCATCAAGTGGCTGGCTCTTCTCCAAGTATGGGGGGGACGTGCACTATTTTGGCCAGCTGACCACTCTCAATGAGTGCATTTACAGATCCATGGACCGGTCCCGCTACGTCCTGCTGAACGACATAGATGAGATTATAATGCCATACCAACACAACAACTTGATGTCTCTGATGAACATGCTCCAACAGCAGCATCCAAAGGTAGGGTCATTTTGTGTGTGAATTTTCAGAATAACACAACATTTTACACAAATTATTTATATATACACTATTAATTATTTATTAAACTCTTTATATATTTTCTTTCCAACATCCATGCTGCACCCATTGAACCATTTTGCAGACGGGGGTGTTCCTCATTGAGAACCACATCTTTCCCAAGAAACCCTTTGAGGAAAGTAAAAGGGGGCCCCTGCCTCGATGGAGAGGGGTGTCTGGCTTTAATATCCTGGAGCACATCTACAGGGAGGAGCCTGACAGAAAGATATACCACCCCCACAAGTTGATCATTCAACCAAAGTAGGTTCACTTCTCGGACTATTAGTGAAGAATGCCTTTTCCTCAAGGCTCACACACTCATAATGTGGATGAATACGGTACATGGATTACAGATATTTTGAGTTTCATGTGTGAATGTTTATGTGTATCACAGGTCGGTGGAGCAGACCTCAGTACATGAAGTGCTCAAGATGTTTGGACAAATGTTCAAGGTTCCACCGGACATCTGTCGGATCATTCATAGCCCAATCAGTACCCCGACACAACGGCCAGTGGAGCAGCTCCACGTGGACACCCGACTGTGGGACTTTAAAGACCAACTGTTGCCCGCTGTCACCAAGGTGCTGGGGAGAGTGGGGCTGCTGAGCTCAGAACCGTTCAAAGTGTGATGGCTAGGGTCGTCGCAATCTTGGCAGCAGGTTTGGGTATCACAACACGGTGCCAATATGGTTCTATACGACTGGTATCTACCAGACTGAATCACAATGCAGATGTCGGTGCCTCATTTCGTTACCTGAGCTGTCATTAATCTATGGTGTGGATGTTACAGGCAACGGAGGCATCAACACACGTCATATTGCTAGTTACAGATACCACAACTCTCTCTCTACTTGGCTCTGGCAGCAGGTAACCTACTGTTAGCCAGTAGCTACCTTGAACACATTAAAATGCCAAACTAAACGGTCTTGAGTGTAGCTGATTGGATGCATAGTTATGAATAGTATATGCTACGTGACTTTCCATTAATTTATGTTGTCTCTTGATGATGACTACAGCAGCAAATATGATCATATTTCTGCTGAAGAATTGCTGAAATTTGAAGCTGGGGTTATTTAAGCCCAGTGTCGACCAGAGATTCAAGACGAGATAAAACAGGTTTTGGAACATTGAAGGTAAAAGAGTTGCAGCAGGGTGAACTGGTAGTCTCAGCTCAACTCAAGCTGGCTGATGGCATGTACAACTCAGCTTGTCAAATCTTTAGTGGCTGGTTTTAGAATGTAATGCACGTCACCTGTTTCAACAGCCAATCGGATTTTTGCCAAGTCAGCTGGTTAATTCGGTTAAAAACTGCCAGCTGGCCGAAACGGCAGATATTTGGAGGGAGGAAAGAGGGGATCACCTCATCAATTAGTTTTACACAAACCTTAAAATTTACCAAATTCTCAACCCTCTCATATTATTTTTTCATTGTTTCATCAAAAAAATGCAACTGTAGCAAATCACTATTCTCATTTTATGTTTTAGGACACTACAAATGATATCCAGCTACAAAAAAAGTTTGAAAATCTAGCAGTTAGATAGTTAGTACAGAGCTTCGTTGCTATTGAGAAGATGCACTGTCTTGTCCTACTGGTGTAAACTGGCAGGGTTTCAGTGTTGCACCAGCAAGCCACAAGTAGTTTCAACTTCAATCTTTGGTCTGAACTGGGCATTAGTGCTAAATCACTTAATTTGTTAAGTTGTTTTATTTTGTTTGTATTTATATATTAAAGTATACTTTACACTGTGGACATTTTAACATGAGGCCTTATGGATATTGACTCACTTCTGTATCCAGTCTCAAGTGGTCATCCGAGGCACTGCAGTTTTTGTTACTTCTATGCTGGCTTCATGTGCCAGCCACAGAGCTCGCTGCTTGGAGAAAATCAGACTTATTCTGCACCTCCTCTTGGTTCTGTTTTTGGTACACAAATGTATCCTGTGAAAGGAAGACTTTGGCTTAATTACAGGTCATTTGAAAGAGACGAAAAACCCAGCAGAAAGTCCTGCAACATGTGATGAATTTCAAATACTTCCAGCAATAACAGCAAATTGTACAAAGTGCGAGCAAACACATCCTGGTTCCACACAGAGCTCATTATGTTCAATGCCACAGCAAGTGGCACGATAACAGTGGCTTTAATGGTCCATTTGAAGACTCCTTAGTATATGAAGAACTGTGATGTATAAGTGTGACTGTATACTGCCTCTGCTTCTATGCTGCTTTTATATTTCACACCAGCAGACCAAAAAATCATATGGAATTACATATTTCAGGTTTTAATCATTTACTGCAACAATACACAAGTTTGACAGTGTGGCTCTGCTCATATGATGCTCTGTAACAGCTGGTGGCTTCATTCTGTGGGTGAACTTAGTAGAAGAAACTTCATAGCACAAGTCATCCTACAGTATCTCTATTGGTCATGTAAAACTCACCTTACCATCTCATTACGACTGACTGATTTGCCAAACATAAGGCATTTATTTTATTATTCTCTGTTTAATACTTAATCACCTGTTAAAACACAACAAAGTTTTTTTAATGGTAAATAATAAAAAAAAAAATTTCCTGAGGCTAGCAACCACTGCTTTAGATCATAGCTTGACCCAGTCTCTCATAAAACATTTGCATATGAGTAAATACTTTGTGTATATGGGAGGTTGTTACAGTGGTGGTTAAATGCGTGAAAGCATGCAGCAGGGAAGCAGTGACGGTGCAGAGCTTTGCATTGATGTGTGCAGAATGAAGATATTCTGGTCTGCTGTGAAAACTTTGCACTGTTTTAGAGAGAGTGTGTGTGTGTGTGCGCGCGCGCGCATGCGTGTGCGTGTGCATACTTCCTTTGCCTATAACAGCGAATCATACTAGGTGCGTGTGAGCACATATGAAGAACTGTAATGTAGAAGTGTGACTGTATACTGCCTCTGCTTCTGTGTTTTTTTTATATCCACACTGATCATTTCACACTCAAAAATCATATAGAATTACATATTTCAGGTTTTAATAATTTACCGCAATAATACACAAGTTTGGCAGTGTGGCTCTGCTCATGATGCTCTGGAACAGCTTGTGGCTTCAGTCTGTGGGTTGTGAAAAGTTGTGACCTAAAACCTATATTTGGATGAACAATAAAATGAGAGGAAATATTTGACCTTTAGTATTCATTAAACTGTCAGAATCAACCAAGAAAGTCTTACCAGATTGTCCCATTTACCGTACACCGTTGGCTTTCATGACAGGATTATAATAGGTGTGGTCAATAACAAATGTCAACTTTAGGGTAGCTCTTAAATTTTTATGCACATAGACTTCTTGAATTAAGAATTAAAATTTTAATATGACTTTATAGGATACAGTCCAGTATTGGTTCAAAGGCTAATAATTATCAGGGATTTTATTTTAAGTTAAACTGGGATGAGACTCATGATATTAGTAGCTTACCTCATCTTACCCAACTTTGTTCAGATTTTGAATCTGTTTTTATTGATAAATGCTTTGTGCATTGTAGCTACTGACAACTGTTATAACCTCAAAGGAAGAGTGTGAAATTATGGGTAATGTGTTTATTCGCTTTCTTGCGTGTTAGATAAGAAGACTGTTACCACTTTCATGTATGTACGGTAAATGTGAAGTTACAGCCAGCAGCTGCTTAGCTTAGCATAAAAACTGGAAACGGGGGGGAAAAGAGCCAGCCTGTCTCTCTCCAAATCAGCCTACCAACAGGTCTAAAGTTCACTAATTGTAATATCTTGTTTGTGTGTAAAAGCAGATAGTCGTTTCCAGGAAGTAACTGCATCCTGTCAAGAAACAATCTGATGTTACACTATATTGTGTATATCTAGATTCTGATGATCTGCTGATGACTGCATCCAGTTCAAACTGACATCCCCGGCCTGACCATGGTGCTCTGGACGTTCGGCAATCCTATAACTCACAGGACCCTGTGGTCTCTAAACGCTTGTACTGTATCACTGAACATGATTTTAGTTATTTATTTGCTTAAAAGGGATACACTTTTAGATAAGTAGCTCTTGCTTCTGCGTGGTTTGAATTCTCTTAATGTAAGTCGGTTTTCATCTGCCTGTAATGTACATGGAAAAAATAAATGTAATTTAGAGATTATATATTGTTTTCCCTTTTTTTTTTGTCATTCTAGCTGCATGGCTCTGTGGATGGCAATGGATGAGTAAAATATCCCAACAAGTACAGGATGAGTTGCAATAAAACTTTGAGTTTTCTTCCAGCACCACCAGCAGGTCAAAGTTTTCATCTCTCTTGTGAAACAACTCAAATTTTGTTCAGAAATTCACGCTTAAAACATTTATCCTAGCCCCTCCGCCCCACCTTTCCATCATCAGGTCCTCCGTGTAGTACTTTTTTTAAATTTAAGGCTATTTAGCAAGTGTTAGCATGTGACATTAGCATTTAGTTCAAAGCACTGCTGTGGTTAAAAAAATAACCTCATAGAACAACTAGCTTTCCTGTTTACCTGAATGGTGAAGTGTGCTTTTGGTAAGGCCACCCAGATGTTTCAGTATGACTAACATTAAAAATATTGCTCACACGGCAGGTTTAGCCAACAGATGATCGAATGGAACCAGGGCCTACCTGATTATTATGTGGCTGACCAATAGTGTTAGACGGTGTGTTTAGTCTTTACCAATATTATAAGCATCCCATACTTGTATTTATGGTGTTCTGGTAATAATGTAATTAGATGTCACTTGTTTTCAGTGCTTTTTGACACATCAGCACAAACCTTTTGTAGCTGCCTGAGGAAAACCTACTCAATCATCCGCTCACATATTTATCAAATTAAATTATCTCAGTTTAATTCATTCAAGGGCACCACCTATTTTATGTGTTTTATACTGACCCATTTGGGAAGACCTTTCCCACTGGTTATTGTGGATGAGAGGTGACTTTCACCAGGCTCACAGATTCCATAAAGACCAAGGCAAAAGCAGCCATATTCACTTACATTCACTGTTCTGTGTTACTCAAATATGGCTGTCATAAAGGTCAACAGGTACAATGCGGCAGCAGAGAATGAAGGTTAATGTTGTGCAGAGTGGTGACATCTGCTGGTGGAAAACAAGTCTTACACTTAAAAAAGAAAGATAATTAGTCCTAATAACGATTATTTTGAGAATAATCGTAATCGTAATCGGTCGATATTCGCTCTATTTAGTTTAATCGGCGATCTCCCATTAAACGCCGATCAGCTGACGCATTTATTTTATTCCACGTAAGGGGGATTCAACTTTGACACGCATAGATTTACATAAACAGAGAGGGGGGGGATACGTCATATAGTGGCTATTTTACAAGCACCGAGCAGGTAAATCAGCAGTTTCGTTTTCGATAGGTGACGTCATTCTTTTCCGCGACTCACATGGTGTTCCTGAAAATGTTGTTTGGGGTGGAGACACATGCAAAAACGGGAGGGAGTTGTGTTTCCTGGACGACTTTGTAAAACTTACTGCCGACCTCCAAAGTCCAAAGAGCGGACACATACAGCCGGTATATGGGGGGAGGAGGCGGGCTGTGAGACAAAAGGTGCAGGTGTCTGTTTACACCTTGTAAAAGCTGCAATACAATGCTATCTCTTTACACTGTCTTTATGTAAAATGAAACCTATAAAGATTTGAATGTGTTATGAGCAGCCTAATAATGCTTCTTTTAGCACTTTGTTTCTAAGTAAACTCTGTACCAGCGTAGCCTATGTAATATTAACAGGGCCAAGTTTGTCTTGTGTGTCAAGGGTGGTGCCAAAGGGGGTTGGTGCCTCTGGTGCCTTTGGTGCCTTAGGATCCAAGCGTTAAGTGTACCGGAGCATTTACATTTCTGAAGGAACTGAGTGATACTGTGTAGTTTCAGATTAGGGAATAATGAGGTTCATCAGACTAATCAATTCGCTGCGTCGCCTCAGGGCTTCGACAGAGGTGGGAACATCAAGGATCCGACACTCAAATGATTCGGGTATAACCGTTAAGCTCTGGTGAGAGAATTAATGTTACTTATGTGTTTGTCCAGTGTATTAAAATTAAACTTGTAAGGTAAAAACTGGTTACATCAAAATCTTAAAGTAACACAAACTCAGTTTTGCTTATTCAAGAGTCTTTTTTTAATCTCTCAATTAAGCAGCTTTTACTAGTAATTTTAGGTTGAACTAATTTAGTTTTGTAAGTTACAGAAACATTCGTGAGTAATAACTTTTTACTGGGTATTGTGTTTTTACAGTACAAATAAATATTACAAAATGAAGTCATTCTTACTTTTTTAAAATGTTTTTTTAACTAAAATAAAATAAAGTTAATTTTACTCAAAAATGCTGATGTGATCAATTTCACCAATTGTTTGAGTTAAGTTAAGTTATCTGGTTTAACAGTGTGCTGGTAAAGATTAAATATGTCTGCGTCTTTGTGCTCTCGTTGTCTTTCTATACACTTCTTTACCATATCTACACCTGTGTCTGTTTTTCCTGGGGCTTCATTATTTCCTGTTTCCTGTGCTTCAGTATGTGTATTGATATTTTCTTTTTATGTATGTAGACGCTCTATCAAAGTATGTATACACATACAAGGAATCTGAGACCGGTTTTACTTTGCTCCAATTGTACATACACACAAGCTCGACAACGTAAACATAAACTACTACAGTGTTTAAATAAGATAAGAGGTTTTATTTGTCACATGCACAGTTATACATAGTACAATGCACAGTGAAATGCATTCTTTGTACCTGCAGCCAGTAGTAAAGAAAAACAAAATACTACTACAGTAAAACAGTAGTGATTGCACATAACACACACGGTAAACAATATAAGTATAAATATAAAACTAAGAAAAAAATAAAATAAAATAAATATATATATACACACACACACACACACACACACACACACACACACACCAAACATAACCTTGTAGACAGTAAAACAAAAGTTTAGTTGTGCAGTGTGTGAAGGATGCTGGTATAAATATTTTTGTGTAAGTTATTATGAGGTGTACTGTACATAGATGACAGTACGTACAGTACAGTGTTTTAATGGTATTGATAGGTTTTAAAAAATAAACAATAAGACTAAATCATTCACAGGTGCAGTGGATATTTGAGTCTCAGGGTTTGTTCCTGACACTGTTAATCAGAGTGATGGCCTGTGGGTAGAAACTGCTCTTGTGTCCAACATGAAACACAAATTTAGGAGGCACTAACATGTGTCGCTAGTTAAAAAATAAAGGCAATTCATCTATCTTTTATCCCGACAAAGCCATTCGTTTTAACTTGATTAAAAGAAAGTAATCTGCAGGTTTCGGTAGGGACCAGGTGGGGCAGGCCCCTATTGTTTGCAAACCCCCACCCACCTCTGAAATTTGAAACCATGCTCCACATAGACTTACTGTCAACAAGACAAACAAACCCAATACTTGCCCTTGGCCTTTCTACTATATATCAAGCCAACAAGGTGGATTTGGACGATTTAAAATGCCTAAATTATAACAAATCTAGCAAAGAAATAAGGTCAAATACAATACTCATTGCTACATGCTATCCCCTTCTCATCAATGCACGTACCATGTCTTAATTAAATGAAAATGTATGTTGAAAGTAAAATTATTTTAACAATTTATCTTAAATAACTGAATCAATTGTTTTACATTGACATGAATACATGAATTTTCTACATTAAAATAAAATCACAGACATCGAAAATATCCTCTATGTGGCCTTTAATTAAAAAAACAGCAGCAACAGTACACCTGTAACTTGTCTAATTAAACAGAATTCAATGCTGAATATGCTAAATGTATTTTACTTGCACGTAAATAATATTTGCGTAACTCAAATATTAGTGGCTGCACCCATTTTTTTTTTTTTTTTTTTGTTACAATTTATTCAATGTTTGATGTTGAAGAAATCTAATGGATTACATTACAGAAACCTGTCTTCTGTAACTGACTACATGTCAAAGACATCCTATCCAACGCCAGATAGCCCTACTTGCCTATATAGCCCGCAGGTTGTGACACAGAAACTGGTCTATTCAAACTAACTGCAACTGACTCACCTGTAAAGTAAACTCGTGTGAACGCGTGTCCTTGATGTCTACAAGTCGCTAAACAAAAAGCAACATGCACCGAAACAGTCACAGTAGCGGTTAAAGGATGCGACCTGAATATACTGTATACTACGTTCATGTAGCCGACTGACATTTGTGAGCGGGCAGTAGTTTTTTAAACGACACATAAACCACTTCCAGTTTTCAAAAAAGCCTCTCTCTTTTTTTATTTTTTTATTTGCCCCCGTAGCCCCCACCGCCGTGGGGGCTGGTCACGCCCAGCGATGACTACACACCGAGATTAACAAGTCCAATACAGGGAGAAGGCGCAGTAAGGAAGAGCAGAGAATGGGAGACGTAAAGGGAGTCGGGGGTGGTGGTGATAGGTGACATCTGAAGACTCTAAAGACACCCCAGCTTGGGTTTTCAGTCGTCTTCCTCACACCAGGAGAGCGAACAGGGACTGCGCTTTATCTCTGAGTAAGTTAAATTATACTACATGTTGAATACACCCTTCATTTTAACCTTGGAACTAACGTACATGCGAATGAGCTCGGAATAAGTTATGACACTTCAATGTGCGTATTTCTCTCCTGAGCTGACCGTAAAAACGCTCCTGCTTTAATATTCCCTTTATGTGACACACTCAGAAATGACTTTATAGCGTTGTACCTTATAGTAAGTTTATTTATATTGCCTACTTATTTTATTGTGTGTGATTTATTTCCCTTGCAAATGTTTCTTTAAATTCTTTTGTAGGAGATTAACAGTGTATCAGATTACCGTTGCCTGCTGTTATATTTGTGTCCTATAATGTAATACTTATAGGGCTTCTATCACGTACAGGCTGCTACAGCTGTTCCCAAGAAAAATATACTATAGGCCTATAAGAAAAAATGGGCATGATTTATTTAATAATTAATTAGGCTACTGAAATGGCGTTTTGCAGCTGTTGCAAATGCAGTTGGAGCTACAGAACCACAGTTGCCCACATTCATCCGGTCACATTGTCTTAACTTTCTTTTCAGACAGAATCTGCATACGTGATCTAAGTAGGCCTATAGAAATAGGTTTTATATGCGAAGCTCCCTCCTGTGTTATATAAGGCACTGTCCCTCCATAAGAAAAGAGTATTCTTATACTCACACACTGACACACTGATTGATTTTCCATCAGTCAAATTGTGCTCATTGGTTTAGAGAAAAAGAACATTTCTTTTGTAGCTGTGCTGTTAAAGATTAAGTGGGTTTTTGTTCAGGGTGTGTAAATACTAGCAAGACTTCAAATATTTGCTTTGATAAGGCAGTGTTACAAGAAACTTGACTGATTGGTGGGGCACTCTGGTTTCATGAGAACTTGTAACCAGTGCAAGATTAAGCCCTTGACTGCTCTGATTCGTGTCACTGTAAGCCTTTCGACATTGATCGTCAAGAGATTGGCTTTGTTTGAAAGGTATTTAAGCATCTGCTTGTTGTAAGACCTGTTGGGCCAATTTCCTCCTGAGAAAGGGTTTCCACTTCCTCATCAAGCAGAGTTTGTTCTGTGTGATCGCTGATGGTAAAATGAGGCGTATAAAACGTGTTGATAAGTGCAGCAAGTAGCAGCAGTATGTGCTAGGGTCTTTAGGTTTTGGTTTGTTGCTTAACTTCCTCTTGTACGATATAGGGCCGAAGATACGGCAAGCTGACAATCACATTTCACTGTCAGAAAAATCATTTCCACGAGGTGCTGCAGTTAAAAAGCTCTTTTTTAGAGAGATATAATATGATAGAGGTGCAGAGTAAGAGGAGGGATTTTAGACCCCCTGGTTCTAGAAGTCCCATTAATTTTTTCTTATCCAGCACATTTTGGCAAAAAACATCCAATAATTGATCTTAAAATTCTGTTTTTGTGCACCACTAATGTGTGTTTAGAAAACTAAAACTACAATCTTCAGCTTAAATCAATTTCATCTATAGACTTAAAAGACTTAAATTCTGGTTCAAGATTTTTAAATTTGCTACCGTTCTGATCAGCAAGGCTCAAGAGTAAGACTGTCAGTCTGATGCAAGACTTAAGAGTCCTATTTTGAACCTGCCATGGGCCTGGAGCTCTACCACTCAGTTTGCAATGCACAGCGGAAAAAGGTTGACATTAGAGCATCATCTGCAGATCTGAGCACGATAAGATCTTTGAAAAAATAAACAACAACAACAGGTTGTTCGATGGATGGAGTGACAATAAAGGTCTGGACAGTATAATAGAAAATACACAGCACGGCTTTAGCTGCAGAGAAGGTACAGGTCAGCGCTCTGCACCGGGTCGGGGGACAACATTTAAATCAGTTAAATATCAGCCGCCAGGATTTTCTTTTTATTGTGAAAGCTGCTCACACATCCTCTGACGAAACATAGAGCTGCAGCAGCAAGAGGAGGAGGAGGACAGGTGCTGCACCAGTTAACCCACTTCTTTTTCTCTTCCAATGACTCAACTCTCAAACCACTGTAAAGTATGCATTGCGGGTCATCCTATCAACCTGTGTTTGCAGATGGATTTAGAGAACGGACACAGGGCTTTAATGAGCGCCCAGCTGGCCGTGTGGATGCTGCAGCAGTTGGTGATTGCTTCAGGTCAAGTGTCGGAAATGTCTTAAGATAGAATTTAAAAAAAACAGGAACTGTAATGGGTTTACTTTGACAGATGCAGTTGTGTGATATAGGAGGGGTCAGACAGACCTGCAGCGAGGCAGCGTCCCACCTGGACTTGCCTCTTATTTTATGTTTTAGACCATGCACACACTCCAAGAAGATGTTCTATCCTCTGTGTATGCCTGAGAGGCGAAACCCAGGGAAAATAAGAATGCTAGTGACTTCAATTGCTTTTTAGCACACGATAATTCTAAAGGGAACTCATATGAGCAAAATAACATTTCTGATGAGCTAATTAATAATTATTAATCCAACAAAAACTGCAAAAGTATGGGGGGGGGATACACCCTTGGCCACACTGTCCCCTCTTGCATGTCCCTCTCACTTTACGAGTTAGGGTTAGGTTACTCCCTCTAAATTGTTTTCTTCCTGTTGAGCCATATGAGGTGACAAAAAGTTTAAACTTGTTACCTTACTTACATTGTGGTCAGAGCACTCATCTAAGTGGGAAGTGGTGCAGATGTTCCTCCAAAATAGTTCAGTTCAATTCAATTCAGTTGTATTTGTATAGCGCCAATTCATAACAGAAGTGATCTCAAGACACTTTTCAAATAGAGCAGGTCTAGACCAAACTCCTTATAGCATTATTTACCGAGACCCAACAGTTCCCACCACGTGCAAGCACTTGGCAACAGCGGCAAGGAAAAACTGCCTTTTAAGTTCTGCAGATAGTTCTGCAAGTAGTTCTTCCAGGTTCAATCTGGCCCAGTAACTTCCCCCAACAATGTGGTAGCCCGTATTTAGAGGCAAAACTCGCTGCACCAGTCAGTCCGACTTAGGAGGGGTAACAAGAGTATACACAATCCTCTACAAACACAATAACCCCATTTAATCTGTATTTTGAGTCACAGTAAATGTTCTGCCAAAAACATTTACACCAACCAAAAGTAAGTTAGTAAAACACAGAGCTCCTTGTAGTGAACAACTTTATTATCTGTATCAAGAACATTAAATGTGATTTTTAAGAAAGGTTAGTGCATTAACAATAAAAGTTTACATATAATTTCTGATATAGCCTTATTGAAGTCTGTGGACGTGTGCAGTGTTTAAATGATTAACATCTTTCTCATTCTCCTGTTGTGTAGTGGCAGTCTATATACAAACAATCATACAATACAACCAACAATGAACAATTCTTCTGTGAGTTTATTTAACGGACTCAAAGCATACAGAGATCAATGGTCTCCACAGCAAAGAGCAAGAAGCTTTTTGTTTTTTCAAAAACCTCATATGCTTGTTTTTCTCGTCTGTTGGTGGGAACTGCCCTGGCCCTAATTGCAAGTTCCTGACACCTCAATACTGGGACTGGTGTTTAAAAAGGCAAACACTGTGAAATACTAAGAGAAATAAAATGTAGCACCAAATTAGGCTGCGCTTTTAGCTGTTTAGGACCTCTTTAAATTCATTCAACTTCCCCATTACACTTCATGCAAAGTCTAAGTTGTATTTTTCCACTACAGTTGCAGCTGCCAGGGTGGGGAAAATGATGATAATGATACTGACGGTTTCATTCGCACCAAACAGGGTCCAGGTGCTGCTACTGTGCATGTTGGCTCACTGGAAACGCTCTGCTACACTAAATGGAGCTGAACTGTAAATTAGTATCATTGGTAACACCTGTGTTTACCCTACTATTTAAAGTCAAAATGGCTGTTGTGAAAAAGGTGTATTACATTCTTAACATTCTTATTGATGCATGGTGTCATGGTGTATGTCATCGTGTATTTAGGTAATCCCTAGCAGTGTAGACAGTTGTCTTTTAAGCAATATTTGATGTAGGGCTGCAACGATTACTCGAGTACCTCGATTACAAAGAATGATCGAGGAGTTTCGTCCGCCTCGAAGCCTTGTAAAACCCACATTTTGCACGGATTATTTTAAGTGTGACACAACGTGCTTACGTCACAGGCTATGTGTCCCCTACAACGCGGAAGAAGACGGAAGCAGGCTCTGTAACGTGTGTGGACAGTTTTGCTGTACAGAACGGCAGACGCCGGGACTGAAAATTGGAAGCAGTGATCTGTCTTGTTTTCTATTGTATATTTATAAGCAGGCTTTAATTAAGCAAAAGTATGTTTTATCCGATTACTCGATGAATCGATGGAATATTCTATAGAATACTCGATTACCAAAATATTCGATAGCTGCAGCCCTAATTTGATGTAGACTCAGTGTCATTGCTACACACATCCTCCTATCCTATCTCATCTTGTTTGTCTGTTTAGCTCGATGAATAAAAAGATGAATCATAATTGACATTTTGAAGCTATCATTTAAACCTCATCTCAGTTATTTTTATCCATGGCAGCAACGTGGCTCTAGGGACCATTGTGGTCTCAACTGAAATACTGTTATGGTTAACATTTTTTCGATTTTAGCAGAGGTCTCAACAACTCATGGGTGGATTGCCATGAAATTTAGTTCAAACATACATGTTCCCCTCAAGAGGAAAAACGAATGATATGTGATCGCATTCACACCTGTATATTGCAGTAATGGCAGCCCAGCTTGTTCTTCAAATGTGTAATTCTAACTGTGACTCCTTATTCTGCCTCAGGTTGGGAATCAATCTCGTCTGTGGCTGGATGGACAAAACAAAAGAATTAAGAAGGAAGTTCTTCTTCTTTTTCGTTGCTACCTCCGTCGTCCTCCTCTTCATCACTGTGAGAGCACCTAAGATATACGGGTCGACCCCAAAGCCACTTGGGCCTCCAAAGATTTGCCCCTTCCACATCTCTAAGGAGACCATCACCCCTCTCAACAATACTAAGCACTTACTAATATCAGCCTTCATGGACCAGAGAGTGAATGGCTTTGATATACGCATCATTGGGTTATTAAGGAAAGACTCCATCCAACCTCTTTACTGTCTTTTCTGCTGTGTGAGCCACTTTTCAACTCCAACTCCAACTCAGATTTTACAACACCCGGAAAGCTTTGGTTTTCCCTTCGTCACTACAGATTTCATGTGTCACGTTCCTCAAAACTGCAATCCCACACATGTTACTCTTTTGACTCAGCAAGACAAAAATAGTGTATTTAACCCAACTTGGCTTCCTATAAGAAACAAAAAGACTGAGGGGAACAGGGAGAAAAAGTTGAACTTCACAGTCTGCATCTCCAACCTGTTTGGAGACTACAACAATGTGCTTCAGTTTGCACAGACGCTGGAGATGTACAGGTCAGTACAACAACAAAGTCAAAGTCAGCTTTAATGTCAATTTCTTCACATGCACCAAACATACAAAGGAATCGAGAGGACGTTTCTCACTCTCCCACGGTGAAACAGATAAAGTGCACAGGCACAACAGACATTTTCTAATACTAAAAGTTTCACAACAGATAAGACAATTACTAATGCTAAAAAGATAGACAATAAAATATATAATACTTATGGTAGTGCAAAAAGGCAGTTCCAACGCCACAAACCACTATGTCTGACTAGAAAATGTATTTCCTGCAGTGTGAAGGCTGAGAGCGGAACTCTTTCTAAAGCATTGCTGAAATTGCAGAAATGAATTGCCAGATAAATCTCAAAGCACAAACTTTCTTGGTTGGTGAACCACTGTCCCTGCAGTACTCGCAGGGAGTGTGCACCTGCACTAAAACCACGACACCACTAAACACAACGGCAGCCATCATGGGGCTGCATGAGGTTCAGATGTCAGTTGACGTCTTTTATATATATATATAGCATAACAAAAAATGTCAGGTGAATACTGAATTTAAGAATTCCCTCTGCTAGACTGCAAATCAAAGTACTGCAAATAGCTGGCTTATTGACTGTACTTTTTTTTTTTAATCAAACAAGTAATTACAGTTCAAATATACTTAAATAGCTGGTGAATGTATATGTCTAATCCTGGGCTAAATGACATGTTTGTTTTATTTGTAATTTGGGTGAGCCAATTATTTAACGTTAGCCTCATTTTGTCCCAGGCTGATAGGTGTGGACAGAGTGGTGATCTATAACACCAGCTGCGGCCCAGACCTCAACCGCCTGTTGCAGATCTATAGTCAGGAGGGCTTTGTGGAGATGGTTCCTTGGCCCATTCACAAACATCTGAATCCATCTCGAGGCTGGCTCTTCTCAGAGAGTGGTGGGGACGTGCACTACTTTGGACAGATGACCACTCTCAATGAGTGCATTTACAGATCCATGGACCGGTCCCGCTACGTCCTGTTGAACGACATAGATGAGATTATAATGCCATACCAACACAACAACCTGATGTCTCTGATGAACATGCTCCAACAGCAGCATCCAGATGTAGGGTGTTTTTGGCAGGCATTTGAGGAATACAAATATTACATAAATATTCAAACATTTGCTATTTATTAATATGCATATTCTCTTCCCGTCTTTCCATGTTGTGCCCTGTCCTGTAGACGGGGGTGTTCTTAATTGAGAACCATATTTTCCCCAAGATACATTTTGAGCCAAGTGGGAAGTTTCACCTGCCTCAGTGGAACGGAGTGCCAGGGGTTAATATTCTGGAGCACATCTACAGGGAAGACCCTGACCGAAGTCGATACCACCCGCACAAGATGATCATTCAACCGAGGTATGCTTAATTTGTTAGACTGAAAAAAGTCTTTTTGTAAAACACACCAAAGTAAAACATTGTTCAAATGCTGTAAAACTCACAATAGCCCAAAAAATGCTTCAAGAAATATTGCTACAGGGACAACATATTGTAGCCCAACCCGGAAGTTGGCATCGCCGTGGTTCCTTCAACAAAAAGACAGTGGGAATTTTTTCTATTGGATTTTGGATTAATGCAGAAAATAAAATTTGTGGCGGACAAAACGTTACAATACTTATACATTTTGTTCAGCAAGATAATCTTAACAAATTAATACCACTTTTATGGTTTTGGAGTGTAAATGCGATCGCCAGAAGTAAAAAGCTCACGTTATATGGCTACAAATGGACTACACCACATTACAAGACTCCAATGATTTGTTATTAAAATCTGCAAGTTGGAAAGTTTGAGTGTAGAATAGTTTGCAGAAGTGAGAGTATAAACACAACAACGCTGTAAAAGCGGACTAGTGTGTTCAGCGTGCTGCCGTTAAATGTCGACTTCTGTAGTCTAATATAGCCACTTGTTTTTTAAGAGAAGTAAAAGCACAAACAATTCACAGGTTGGGTATTTACTGACATATTTTATGTTGTTGAACAAAAAAAAAACAAATCTCCAGTTTGCCATTCAGTCCAGTATATCTATATAATACATATATTTAAAAAAAAAATGTTTTAATTGTGTGTGTGTGTGTGTCAGATAAGGTTAGCAAAATACTAGCTAGCAAATCTACATCAATTGACAGCTTGTTAGTTACATCTGAGATCTAATGTTTGTAAAATGATCTCGCTAACAATTTATGAAGATTGGCTAGCAAGTTAGCTAACATTTTGCTAACATTAGCTAACTTAAGATGTGACTGTTTACTGTACTGTAGCGTATATGTAGCTTTTATTTTTAATCATCATCAAAATGTGGTTGTCCTTTCAACATAGACAATCTTTGCACATCTAAGTACGGGAAAAGAGAAATTTGACAGATTCCAAAAGGGGCGGGGTTTAAGAAGAGTCAGGATTATACAGTGTTACAGGAAACAACAGGTTAAACCAAGGATCTGGGCTGGGCTAAGATAATGGAAAAGAGACAAGGAAAGTATGATAAGGAGGCTAAAGATGAGGAGAGAGTAGTGTGTGTTTAAAAAAAAAAAAAGTTGAATACAGTGCATAATGTATAAAATACGTGGAACATTTTAACATCATCAGCTCAGAACGTTTTTAACCCTAACCCTGTAGCTTCATTTGCAGTGGTTATTTGTACCAGGATATAAATGTATTTTTTAAATCTTGATTTACTCAGGAAAGGTTCACTAGGAGGAAGAAACACCCTGATAACATTCACACTGTTACACATTAATAAAGGAGGGAAGGTGCCCAGTGCAACCACAGTGGTTGGCGTTAAAGACCTTGCTCGAGGACGCCCTAGTTGTTTGCTCATGAAATTATTCCCTGGCCACACATTTACTAGTGACCTGTTTTATTTCAACAAACCCAACTGTCTATTTAAATCAATATTTTGTTAAAAGTGCAACTATGTACTCCACCCACAGTTATGACCTTAAGGACCTTTTTTGTACCTTACAGGGTAAATAGAGAAATGATACGCAGCAGATTTAACACAGATTTAGAATGGTAGACACTTAAATCAGGAGAAGTAAAGACATTGTCAAGAGGCTTAGCAAGCTTAAATTATTTTCATCTACACACCCAATTTTTCATGACTGTCATAGCAAATAAAGGTAGTGACAAAGAATTGCACTTACCTGATTTATGTCTCTTTTGCGTCGCAGGATGGTGGAGCAGACTTCAGTGCACGAAGTGCTCAAGAATTTTGGACAACGATACAAGGTTCCTTTGGAGGTTTGTCGGATCATTCATGTCCGTGTGCCTCTGCGCGGGGGATTAAAGGTGGAGCAGCTCAATGTGGACAAACGACTGTGGGACTTCAGCGATAAACTGATTCCCAATGTGGACAAACAACTGAAGAGAGCAGGGCTGCTAAAAACAGAGGGCCAGAGCTGATGGATGGACAGATGGACTAACATAATGAACATGTTAAATCCGATGATGAATGTACACCCTTATTTCAAATGAATTTCATTTTATATCTGGGCAGGGGATGTGAATATCATTGCCATTGTTTTATGCTGTATGTTTTCTGAAATGCTGTCTTATTTTGCACTTAATGGCCATTTGAATGACTCGAATGCTGCTCAGTTGTCAAAATTTAAAGAATTTCAAGCACTGTAGATATACTATGTGGTATAACGGTTTAACGGCAGAACAACAATGCCCTGCTAGGACAAGTTCACACGTGCTGACTATCACCTGCTGACAATTAACCACACACACTTCTTTGCTATTGGTTGAGGCTGTGAGGCCTTGCGATGCCTACGACTTTGCCAAAGTTCACTAGAATTGAACTTCAAGCAAAGCAAGGATGTAAATTCACACTTGTGACCAACCGTGCCTATGTCGCTGAGTCACGGCCACTTTTCAAATTTGAGTCCCTAATGGAATAGAAGAGTTTTGGTTCGTTTTTCACCGGGAGAGTTTCATGCAGTGTTTCATGTCATGTAACACGGTCAATAAGACAAATTAATGAGACTTTTCCATGTGGAACAAGAGGGCGCTCTGGCAGCAGTACACTTATGATCCCACTTTGCAAATCCATTCTGTTTGATTCTTACATACATCTTAAAGACTTTCACTGTGACTAAAACTCACTAGATGTCATTGCATCTGAGATTCAAGTTGATTTCTACAGGACACCGCAAAGTTGGGGTTAGACTGAACCACGGGTGCCGTTTAAACTACAGCTAAGGACACAGCAGTTAATGGAATGAGAGAGCAACATCAGCCCCACCAAGTGAACACATTTAATTTTATTTTTGTATTCACTCTCCTTTTTTCTCTTCTATTGGTCTCCACCAACTCCTGTAGGAAATATCTGGCTCCTTAGCTCTGGTCACAAGCTAGTCATTAACCTTGTCTGTCTGCCATTTGCTGAGTGCTGAGTGTAACAGCTGCCTGCTGCTGCCAGAAGCAAGGGTTAATGAGAGACTGAACCAAGTCTGAAAGTTGGGGGCTGTGAAACAAAAACAGTGAGCTCAGGGGAATTCTGTGTAATATATATATTTAAAATATTTGTCCTGGCAAATATGCTGTACCTAATGGAAATACAAGAGTATTAATAGCTCATTGTTTGTGTAAGCACCTGGTTAAATGACCCTGTTGTCTTGGGAGTGGAGGAGGATTCAAATGTTTATAATTCCCTCAGGATATATGTGTTAATTTATTTACCTTTCATTTTTAACTGGCTCATTGTGAAATAAAAAGCTCATGTTTCCGACTTAAGTAAATAATTGCCTGAACCAATGAATATCTGCACCTTTCCCTGAAAAACATATGCAAATATTGAGCTATACATATATTTAACTATCACATTACTTATCCCATTTTACTCCATTATACAGCTATACAGCTGCCATATAGATTGTTGTTACATCCTATGTTAGTTGCTATTTAAGTAAATGTTCTGAATACTTTCTTCTTCTATACAACTTCAACCCTTTTCACAAAAGGATGGAGTTTTTGACTCCAGCTACCAAGCAGGAAAGAAAGGGACGGACCCCTCATTTGACAGAGCTGTTCCTTCTGTTCCCCAGCGATTACATGGTTGATGCTTTGCTGTGTCCAGGCAGTGCTGGAAATGTTATTCTCCCAGTGCACTGTTAACGCAATTGTTTTAGCTGACAAGCAGTATCACGGAAATGATCTGGTACAGTTACCACAATTGAGGAAAGAAATTCTTGATAACTTGTGCAATATATATAATTGAACTTGATAAAGGCTGCCAACACTTGCTGAAATGCTGACAGATATTTTCCAAGGTTTTTTTAAAGGTTTATTTTCAGTAACAGTGTTAACTTATCAGCTGCTGGTCCTAATGGAGAACAAAAAGAGCCACAGAAATTCTCTCGGTAAGGCAAACAATCTCCTTTTGCTTTCTGGCTCATGTAGCAAGGACCTGTCTCAGATAAACTGCACACGTAAAGTAAAACATCTCTTCGTTCAGTTTGTGCGTCTGGCGTATTACCATTGCATCCTTCAGATGGTGTCTTTAAGAACACCACCAATTTTATACATCAAGTCTGTTTACAGGTCTTAGGGAGTACCACTAGATATTTAAAAACAGGAAAAAAGTTGTCAGAGGCATTTTGTTGTCACAGAGGAAGCTACTTGATATCCAATGAATTGTCCCAAGTGATGTCACTATAGTCAGGGTCAGTTGGAGTGGAAGGCAACAAAAATATCTAGGTGTGTGCAGTGAGAAAGAAGTTATCTCACCAGACCTCTGTAGCCTGCTCTTACTAGCATAACACAGTGTCTGACCGAACTGTAAGAGGTCGAGTTGGATAATGGGTAACGCAATAACAATCTCATCAGCTTCTGACAAGGAAGAATCATCCGTGGACTCAAAATTGCGCTCAATTCAATTGTGGTACTTTTTCTTTTTTTTGTTTTTTTAAAACTGTCCATTGCAAGCCAGACAAAGTGCAGAGAGAGTAATTTAGCATTGGTTACATAGTAACATATAAATGCTGGTGCCTCATTTGAGTCAATTTATTTCCTCTTTTGGACACTACCAAGGAAAATGTATTTTCTGTATGTTATTTCTAGCTTACATAGAAAAATAAAAAGAGCCTGAGCCTAACAAAGTAAAATGACAGTACTCCATCCCCTTATCATAAAAGGAGTCACCCCACACATATTGGACTCGGACACATTTAAAAAAGCATCATCATTTGGAAACTATTTATTGAACATTTGCAACCAGATATCAGTTAAATACAGAACTTTCAATGCTCTCTTTACATCCCCCAACAGCAGGGACTGGCTCCACTTCATTACACTGAGAGGAGGGAATGTTACAGGACTTGGTAAGGCGCACACTGTGCTGGAAGTCATTTGGCTTTCTGTCTTCTGATAATAAAGAGAAACAAAATCTGAGTCTGCCTCTCAAATGTCCAACACTGCTTCCTCCTCGCAGCTAGATCCTGATCCTGCGCGTACAGACCATGGCAAAATGACACAAATAGGAGCCGAGAAGAGAAAACCAGTATAGACGACTGAGACACACCCCTACTGAATGCGGTCTGAGATGTGTAGCCGTGATTGAAAAGCTAAAAGTAAAATGATCAATATATTAGAAAAATGGCAATTAGTCCTTAATAAACACCTCGCCTCACCTACTCCCAAACAAGACCAGGGTTATAAATTAAAACTGTCCAAATAAAATCAATCAACAAAGACTTTGGGCCCATTCAGTTCCATTTCAAGACTGGAAAATCCTCATTGGAAAAACAAATGGCACTTTTCAGTCTCTTGAACTGGAATCTAGAATATCGACTTCAATGGAATCGATCCCCCAACCCTAAAATCAACTCTTTCTAATTTACATATATGGGTCAGGCGCTCTTCAAGCTTCCACCATTCTAGCAGTTGCTCCCCACAGGACAGGGAGGGGGGCTCTGGTGTCTTGAGGGGCTAGGCCACGGTTTTGAAGGTCTGCAGTATGAGGTTGGTTTGGTGGATGAGCCGGTTTGCACTGATGAAGACATTTATCGCCCTGGGAACACAGAAAAATTGCAACTTCAGAAAAACAGGACCAGAAAAGCTCACAGAGGTGTGTTTAAACAAACTGGAACTAACAAAAAGAACCTGAACTGGGAATGTGGGGCAGACTGGTTCTCTTAAGACTTTTGAAGAAGGTCACACAGGAGGCTTACACAACACAAATGACAAGTGGGTTTACTGGAAACATTCCTGCCTTGAATGAAATGAAAATACATAAACAGTTGGATTAATTAAAAAAACAAATCCCCTTTTCAACATTTGGCAGTTTACTGGCTACCTACCAAACATATGTATATAAACACATTCCTGGACTCGTCTCGTCACTATCCCTTTACAAATAACTTGAGCGCATTCATTCAGAATGGGAACAGGCATCGAACAAACTGACAGATAAATATTTCCCCCATTAATCTGGTTCCACCTCAATAGAATTGAGTTGAAGGGAGTTTGAGCTGTTAAAACATCGAACAATTAGTACTATTATTATTTCAGGTTTATTTATTTCTGTTTCAAAGGTGCACTGATGAAGCATCACATGGGGGTGTTACGGTCTCACTTACTTTCCATCTTTGAAGTATGTTTTGAGGGTGTCGCTGAAACTTTTGGAGTATTTCACAAACTCCTTTTTCTGGTGCTCCAGGGCCTTCACATAAACAGAAACGTTATTTTATTTTTAACAAGGGAACGTGAGAAATGTACACAGGTGTGTGTTTGTGTTTCCGTTACTCACTCTGCGATTCTGGTACTGATATTTCTTAATGACATTGTTGACTGTATCCAGGAGCTCTTTTATAGCGCTGGCTATGTCTCTGTGGGAAAACACCAACAACAACAACAACAACACAAGTGAGGGTTTCACAACAGAAATTAAGCCAAAAGGTGAGTCACTTTAAGTGTACAGCAATGAATTGACCACTGTAATATCCTCACCAATAAATGCTGGAATTCTAATGCAGTACACTGTATACTGGGGTATATAATCGACCTTATGCGGCCTGAATATTTTTTTGTTTGTTCCATTTCCTCGCTATTGCTGACTATAGCGAGTCAATCGGTTCAGACAGCCACATGTGTATATATTTGTTTAAGATAAAATGAAACTGGAGAACTGTTTCACTTCCTGTAAAATGTAACATCCTTGATCCTCCAATAAAAAGATTCATAAAAAAAAAAAAAAAAGATTATTTGCATTCACAAACAATCTAAACTAGCAGATTTTTAGCTATGCAAGCAGGAATATAGGAATAAAAGAATATAGGAATATCGGTCAGTCCACCACTTTAGTCTAGACAGCTCTTGGAGGTTGTCGGGCTGATGGTGGCTGGTTGAAAAATTTTAACACATCGCCCAACCCTGACGGATGCCCTTGAACTCTTATGCAGATGTTCCCCAGAGGCTGAATAATGCTGACCTTGGTGATACCCTGACTTCCTCAAGCTTCAACATGACACTGACATTTGTTGTTTTGAGTACAGTGTCTTGTCAACTATTAACCATTGGTTTAAGTTACTAAAGGCCTCAACACTGCACCCTATTTGACAAATCAGCATTTGTTGGTCATGTGTAAATAGCCGTTTCTTTTGTGTGTGTGTGTGTGTGTGTGTGTGTGTGTGTGTGTGTGTTCGCTGCTCGCACTCACTTGATAGTCTGTAGGAAGCGTACTCTGTCATTGATCTCATCGGGGATTTTGCTGAGGATGTGTTTCAGAGCTCTGGCCTTGTCATTTAGGTCCAGGAACTCCTGCTCAGGCCGGTCAATCATGAACTCTGCAGGAAAAAGGTGTTTAGTACATTCCCAGGGACTAAATGATTTCTGTAAATGGGCAGACAGACGAAACAAGTGAAGTCGGAAAAGAACAGAACACTGGTGTGTAAACTGGAGAAAGGCGCTGCTGCATATCCTCCGAACCTGGATCTCAGAGTCACAAAAGACCGTTCCCACCCCATTATCTCAACGCTTCTTCCTCTCACATCATAACTCACCTTCCACATCATCAGCTGCCATGCGCAGTAGGGACTCAGTGAAGTTGATTTGGACATTCTTTTTCTCCAAGATCTTCATTATAATGTCCTGAGTCAGACCAGGGTTCTCCCTCTCCGCCTGACAAAAGAAGAGTTCAATTAGGTGACTAGAAAGAGGGAGAGAAGTAAAGCAATTCACACGTGAGTGGAAAATAAGGTATTGCACAGTTTGTCTTCTCCGACAAAAAGCGGAGGCTTAAAGCTGCAGAGAACAAAGCTGGAACTTCACTGAATGTCAGATGTCCGCTGTGAGCCGCTCAGATGAATGCACAAAGAATCTCCTCCTGAATAATTCAACTTTGAATTACACCAGCAAGGAAGCAGCAGGGGCAATAGAGACACCAATCAGTGAGACAAGTGAACAAAAGACCCACAAATGTCATCGTAAAACAACTGTAAGGTGATCGCATCTCCCTTTGGTTTGGTTAACGACAAAGCAGCTTCTCCTTCATTAATATTTCATCTGTGCTCACGCTGAACACTACTGCTCATCAGCAGCCGTACAGAGGCAATCTATGGCCACTGTGCTTTTATTATTCCAGTGCAATCACAGTAGTGTATAATTAAAAAAAAAAGAAAAGAAAGGAGGATCAAGACATTAATAAAGTCTCATCTGATGACTACGATTAGGTATCACCTGTAAAATCAGCTGAGTTTATTCACTTGAACATCCATCCTGTACCTGGAGGTG